AACGTCAACTCGAAATGCAAAAATTTGTCACCACGAGGAATCGAACTAGGGACCTCTTTTTGGTATTAAGCAGGTCCAAAAACCATAGAAAAAACCATGGAAAACGGACCATAGTTCTGTGGTTCCTGCATGTGTCCCTATATCATGCAAGAAACCGTTTTGAAGAAAGCTTGGCACACCCTGAACGACCGCCCTTGTAAGCGGCGAGCAGGCATCATGCCCAACTGATGCAGGAATGTGATGCGGCCGAAGTTTGAGTAGACACGTCTAGCAGTCATAGTCTTCCCATCGTGTAGTGGGATTGGTTGATCCTTCTATCTTGAATCACTGCTTTATTATGAAGTTTTCAATTAAAACCATTTCTACAAAATCAAGTGCCCCCTACTTTTCATTATGCCACTAAAGTATTGCGTACTGCTTAGCCTGCAAGTTTATCCTTCTCCTTCCGAGTATTCCTGGTTGTTTACAAATAGTTTGGTCAATTCAGTCCTCAGATCAGATTTCTTTGTTACTGGTATTTTTACAGTTCTTGTTCGAGAAATCTACTTTATCCGCATGCTAGCTTACTTATTTTTCTATTAAACTAATAAATATGCATAAGAGAACAGCTATTGAGTTCTAGCTTGGTCTGTGTGGAGCAGGGTGAAAATTGTGTCGAGGACGTGGTCGCAGAAGTACGACCCCCCCCTGAAATCGAGGTCTTGGCACGACCCCCTAAAACAGAGCATACGCAAAATCACAACAGCCGAGTGTATCGATCAACGGCCGATTCAACGGCAGCTGCGGCGCGATTTGTCCTGGGTCAGATTTGCTGAAATCCCGAAAAAAACGTCGAAATCTACACCCTCGATGAAAAGGTTCCATTCCTCCATTTCCCAACCTTTTGAACAGCACGCGGTAGGGTTAGAGCTAGATTTGCTACTATCAGGCAGTATTGGAATTGCTATGAAAGCCTTCCATTCGAAGAGATATAGTCTCTCAAAATCCGTCGAGGCAGCGTCGAGGGCGCTAACATTTTCATGCGTTTTGCCCACTCAAAAGGCAATAGTTTTGCCCACTCTTCAAATTCGTAGGATTTTGGAAAAAAGAAGACAGTTTTGGAAAGCGGAAGGTTTGCGCTTCTAACAGTCTGTTTAGCTTCCTTCTACATTTCTAGTTGAGGAGATATTTGCGTCGAGGATCTATCGAGGATGATTCTCGGCCACTCAAAAAGCCGCTCCCTTCTTCACCATTGCAAGTGTAATTCGTTGGCAACGCTCGAAATGTGTCTAGAATACATTCTCCCAACATAAGCAGTGGGTGTCGTCTATGGGTGTCGATAACCGACGCACCCATATCCGACGCATAGCATATCCGAGATCTATTTGGATGCGACACCCCACTCGCGGGACACCAGCTTTTGGAGTAGCAGCGTCTCGCGACTCGACTGGATGTGGTAGCACATACATCCATGGTTGATGGTGCGCTCGCCCCGTTCCGGGTTTTCCACCCCAATTCGTAAACTTTGCATTCCATTTCGTAAACGTTGCAAGCAATTTCGTCAACGTTTCAGCTATTTTCGTAAACGTTTCAGCCCATTTCGTAAACGTTGCAACCAATTTCGTCAAAGCAGCAGATATTTTCGTAAACGTTGCATCCCATTTCGTAAACGTTGCAGCCCATTTCGTATTTGTTCCAGCCCTTTTTGGGCGCAATGTGGCTCGGGGGCGGGGGGGGGGGGGGGGGCAGCCGCCGCCGCGTGTGCGGCAACAGGAAATTCGTGAGCCAGGGGGAATGAAGCCAATTCAGGGGGTGGGGGGGGTGAGGGCAGTCACTTAACATGCGTGAGAAGCTGGAATGTTCGAGTTTACACTACTTCGCTAAGCCGCGGCGGCGACTGGCCCTCAAGCCACATCGCGCCTGTATTTGTTGTGGTGGAGAGCCGGATATATAAGTATATGTAGTTGCCTGCCACGCTTCTTATGTATAATTGCTTCCTACACTGCTTCTGTCGTACACCGAGCTGCTTCGCAGTTTATAGCTGGACGAAGATAGTCGAACGGTAGAAAGTAGACTGAGGATGAGAGTAAGAATAAGAATGAACCACACCCGTTCGGGTGTGCTTATATACAGTTATTGTTTACATCGTCCACTCAATAACAATTTCTATCAAAGCAACACCATTTCTACGGACACTTATGAAAACAGCGGTTTTGTTTCGTACAGAAAACTCCCCCAGGAGCTGGAATGAGAATTACAATAACAACGACATTTCAAACATGGATCATTCTGTCTTCTTCAATATGTTGTTGTACAATCTTCTTTCGCCCGTGGGCGTAGATTATATCTTGAATTTTCTTGCAGAACTGTTTCACGTCTTCCATTTTTAGGTGGTTCTTCATCTTGGCATCTTTCTTTGATGTTCTTCTGATTGGATCCAATTTCAAGCGGAATCAAGAGGTTCACGGGTCTCCGAATATGGTTATTATATCCGCAATAGACTTCGGCTTCTCTTGCTTCACCGTCGCTATTGTGTATTACTTTTGAGATTCTTCCTATCTTCCAGTTGCTGCGCTTTTGGTAGGTGTCCACAATCAGCACAATCTCTCCTTCGATCGGTTGCCTATTACTTCCTCTTTGATTGGTCATGTTGCATCGATGCTGTTCCTCGCATGTCTTGCTGAATCAAGTATTATCTTTCTCTATATTTTATTTCTGGCAAATATCCTGTTCTGTCCAGCGTTTCGCACGCACTTCTCAAAGCTTCTCTGTTTTTTGATTTGTCCTAAGACGTGCATCATTGCATAAAGGGACTGAAGGTAAGTTGGGTCTTCGCTGCCGGTCGTTGAACTTTTCAACGGGAGGGAGCAGTGTGAGTTAGCGTGGCGGCATTTTCGTTTTGACATGAAAGTCCAATTAGGTCGCGAAGAATGAAAGGATGTCCTTCGACATCAGGGGGTTCGACTTGAACTCAAGTCAAAGGTCTTGTATTTGAACATGCTTCTATTTCATGCAGGAGCGTCGTAAGCTAGTCGATATTGAGTATCCTTTTCCCAATTGCTTTGAATAATGAACCTTTGATTGACTTTATGAGACGCTCATAGAAGCCACCTTCCAGAGGAAAACGGTGTTATGATAGATGACCATTCAATCAGTTTATTACTAGGCATCGCCTGTTGATTGGATGTTCTTCGTCGTGTCTGCGCAAACACCCGTAGCAAAATTCGATCATAGGGATCCTTGTTTGCAATCATGACTGTCCGTTTTTCTACGGTGTTTTCAGATGTAGAGTCATCGTTGCACTGGAGATAAAGGGGCACGGCATTTGGTTCTTAATGATTACGCGGATGAATCGGTACGGCAAGTTTTTCCTGGGTGAGCTTCTCTTTGATGTTTTTAACCCAAAGGCATCGGGTAAAATCTCTGTCTGCCTCTTGCAGGCGTACTTGGAGGAATGTCTTCTCAACATCAGATAGTAAGACATAATTTCCTGTGCGAAAGCGCAACAATATGCCAGAGAGTTTCGGTAACATTGTTGGTCCTTGATGTATCATGTCATTGAGAGATGGGCAATCCTTATAGTGCGCTGATGCGTCAAATACGACGCGAAATTTTGTAGTTGTTTTCTGTGGGGTTATTACAAGTTGGGTGAGGGAGATAATGTCTTTTGGTTGTTGATGAATCTTTGGATTCATCTACTTCTTCAAGAATTCCTGCCTGAACTTGTTCTTTGAAAACTTTGTGTCATACTGCAGTAGAATTTCTGGGTTATCGTTGTATTTTTGTAAGGCATTCTTCAGTCGTTTCCATGATAGTGCTCTGTTGTCTGGTAATTCAGAGTGTTGGCTTTTGAAAGGAAGTTTCACATAGTATATTCACCACTTCGTTTTTTGGATGGTATCGTTTGAACTCCTTCAGAACTTGTGCGTTTATCTTTTCCCTTTCTTCTTTTTCGGATCTGGAATTTTCTTCATCTTTTTCGCAAATTTCGGAGTTCCAATACTGTTCCCAGTAATCCACATGTTCGCTTGTATTGGAAGTTTGTACAAGCACATGGTTTTGTTCTGCAGATGTGGTTTTCTGCGACAATTTTTGTCCTGAGATCATGGTATCCGAATACTGTAGGTATGAGGAGTAGTCCGGATGGAAGAGTGAAGTGTGGTGTTTCGAATTTGACGAAATTCCACAGTTGATCGCATCCTATCAGGATCCGTGGTTGTATGTTGCCTTTCTTTATTGGTGAGCATACATGAATGTGTTTTCTTCTTATGAAATTGATGTCTTTCTTTTCGAGGTCACAGCGTGTAACATTGGAAGTAATTGTGTCGTGTATGAATAGTCTAAGTGTGTGCTGTACACCTCTGATCCCATAGTTTGAATGATGTATTGTGACACGTGAAATCTTCTCTCTTGATTGTCGTTCCCCTAATGTGGCCTGAGCCTCATTGTAAGTGCATTGTCTCGGGGAGTTCGTGTGCGTGTAAGTTTCGAATCTATGAAGAACGGTCAGTTCCAGTATCGAGTAATACCTGCACACGGCGTAGCTGTTTTGTTTGCGAATTCGTCGTTTTAACCGATCCAGCGAGAAGATATGTGTCTTCGGTCTTCAAGATTTGATTTCCCCCCGCGACAGCGCTAATAATCAGGGCGTTTTGAGTCAAGATCAGGATCTCGGACAAGGCCTCTTAGTGTGCTTGATGTAAAGTTCTGTGTTGATTTTTTGACTTTTTCATTCTTATTTTGTTCGACTTGTATCGCAGAGGAAGTGGTTCCTTTGTTTTTCAAGCATATTGAAGTATGGTGTCGTTTTCCGCAATGTGTGCATCCTATTCCTCTGCATTCAGCGAATGAATGGTTCCTTGATCCACATCCAAGACACCTATTCGTTTGTTTGAGGTATTCAATCCTTTCTTTTGGATGTTTAAGTTTTGTACATGAGACCGACCAATGTTCTTGTGAATCACAATAGAAGCAAAATGGTGATCTTTTCTTAGTATGGTTGGTAGATGGTGAATTACGTCCTAGTTTCTTGGGGTACTCTGGTGTTCGAAGGTTCCTGGCATGTGACGTTCGATTTCCTCTTCTTGTTTCAGAACTTTGTCTAAGGTTTCCATTTGTGTCTTCATGCTCCAAGTTTGATCATTCAAGAGTGCAACTTTTTTCTCGAGAACTCGTCTTTTTATGTCATCTCTGAACTTAGCTAAGATTTTCGACATTAGCCATGGACTGTTAAGGTCCGCTCCTTTGCTTTCTAATTGCTTCGTGAGGGAGTAGAGCCGGTCGAATAGCTTGCATTGATCTTTTAAGTCTGTACTCCTAGCTGTGCAGACCTCCATTTGTTCGTGTAGGTTGGTGATAATCACAAATGCATTTCCATATTTTTCTTGCAAATGCTTCACCACCAAAGGATAGTTAGTTGATGTCACTTGGTACCTTTCAGCAGATTCACGAGCTTCTCCCTTTAAAGCCTTGAGAAGGTAATTGAACTTCTGCAAATTCGACGAAGGGAGAGAATGTATTGTGTCATTGAACAACTCCCAGAAGTTGTCCCACTCCCAACAATTACCACTGAATTCCGGAATGGGAATTTTTGGAAGTTCTGCTCGAGCCGTGCTGGATTGCCACACTGTTTTTGGATCTGCCCTTGCTTTTGTATCTTTCGAGACTGGCTTGCAAAGTCCTTCCGATTACCGCGTGACATTAAGATCTGTCCTGCGTGTCCTAATCCTGGTCGGAAATGCGCTGCTCCTCTTCGTTCTCCATTGAGTGTTGAAGTTTATCAACCTGTTTCTGCGAATGCGAAGAAGGCTTTTTCAAAGGATGTTTGGGTTGCACGGATATGAACTAGTGCATTGTTGATTTGGTTTGTTCGGTTTTCGGTATTGTATTCATCATTTATGGCTGTACTGTTTGCTAAGTGGTTGTAGCTTTCCAAAAGATCGTTCAAAGCTTTCGCTTGGCGTGTTGCTATGCCTTTGCGAGTTTTGAGTGAAGCTGTCATCTTTGCTTTCTTGGTTTCTATGATTCTTCAGAAGTTACCGAACAGACCTGACTATATGAGTAGTCAATTTCAAAGTGAGCTTGCGAATCTCTAGAGTCGGTTTTCTGTGACTTCTCGGAACTGCAGCCGAAAGTACGCTATCAAGTTTTGAATAGCTTCAAACGATAGTCAGCGCGATCCTCTCTTTTCGAATTGTATAGTGAAATGAGTAACCCACGCTGTCGTTGTGTCCGTGATCTGGCCGATGATGGTGAGCCGAATATATAAGTATATGTAGTTTGCCTGCCACGCTTCTTATGTATAATTGCTTCCTACACGCTTCTGTCGTACACCGAGCTGCTTCGCAGTTTATAGCTGGACGAAGATAGTCGAACGGTAGAAAGTAGACTGAGGATGAGAACAAGAATAAGAATGAACCACATCCGTTCGGGTGTGCTTATATACAGTTATTGATTACATCGTCCACTCAATAACAATTTCTATCAAAGCAACACCGCATACCATTGTCTTATCGGAAGGCTTAAGAAACCAGCGGTTTGTTTTCGCGCCTGTATTTGTAATGTGTGACAATTTATAGAGCACAACTTTCAGGCGTTTCAGAAAGTTCTGTCGTTTTACGACCCCTATTTCAAATGCATGTATCTCGGCCTAAACTCATCCTTTCGAGCTGATTAAAAACCATTCGAAAGCGCAAACCTTTCTCTATAAGCAGGCCGTTTTCATGGGGTATCGGTTTGTTTGAAAATGCGTAGCCTGAGGCCAATACCTGAGGGAGAGGGTTCGTTTAACGATCTGATGTTGCTTTGGATTCATGTTTCTCTTAGAGGGAGCTATCGAGATCGTCAGAAATGTGACAGTTGATAGCTGGTCCAACTTGTGCAGGGTCAGGGTGCGATGTGCCTCCTAGGTACCATTCAGGGATGTGTCCGTCCCTTTACAATGAGTAGTGCTGGACCCATGTCTTAGTGTTTTTGTGAATTTTGACGTACACGTTGAGACTACTCTTTCCACTGCAGTGGACGTTTCAGGTTATACGGAAGAACATGGCCAGCCGCTGGACTTATGAAAGTTACTATCACCCTCCTTCAGCACAGTTTAAGTTTGCACAGTTTGTAGGGCTTGATCGCCTTCAATCTATTCAGCAAAGCTCTGGGGGCTGTAGACAAGAATCGTTCTTCATTGTACGTCGCAAATCTGTAGAAACGGGTCACTTTTATCACATTAAGCAAGTGGCATTTTGATGGACGAAACTTCAGATTGGTGACATGTCGCGGCACGCTCTCATTCAATTTTTTTTGGTGCTTTTCTAGGTCCAGCTTCTGCACTAGCTCTTGCGCTTTCACAAACTACATACGCCCTGGTTGGGCAGGAACCCCTCTAGTCTTAACTACGAGTGCCTGTCAATCAGGAGACTTTGGTTAGTGGTGACGAGCGATATCTGACGTATTCCCCACAACTGTTCGATCGATATCTCAAACTCTAGCTTTCGATAGTAAACACCTTTGACACTTACTGGCGCATCTGAAGCACGAGTATATTGCGAATATAGACCAAGTGCATCGTTGGTATCTTGAACTGTTCTCGCTACTTTTAGGTCTATTTAAAGCTAGAAAAAGAAAGTCATGCCAACTTGCTCATCGAGTACTCCGCATTCAAACCTTTGAAAAAGCTATAAAAAATGGTTTAGGACAAAGCTGAACTGGCATTGGATAGAGCAGAAAAGATCTCTTTGAAACGATATTCATACTCGACTGGTCAGTCCTATTTCACAAGCAAAATAAAGCATCCAAAAGTTGAGTGTCAGAAAACGACAGAACTTTTTGAAACGCCTAATACAATCAGCTAATCCACTTCGTTGGCAGAAAACGTCACACCGGACAATGAGAACTGCTTACGCACCTCAGAACCTCCTCTTCTCCTCTGAGGTTTATTCCTAAAACTGGGCTTCGGTGAATCTGACGCAGCGATACGGGCTGCCCCCCTCCCCGCCCCTGGAGCAACATGCGCCCTAGAAAACTATCACATTTTCTGTAGCCGTCGTCTTAGCTGTCTGTCCTGCAGCGGGAAACAAAGATTTTTCGGTCCATTGGCCATAACTCCGTTTAAGCTCATAAATTCTGGAAAGATAAACTTCATATAAGACTGACGGCCTTGCTTTATCACCCAACCCCCGGTACTGACTCCATTGAACATGTTCAGTATTCAGAAATTGGCTACCTTGATTTTTGCAAAACTAACGAGGAAAATTTATGATGAGTGCGAGTTTTTAACATTTTCCGAAGCCATAACTCCCTTTAAACTCATCCATTCCAGAAAGTCAAAACGTCGTCATAAACAAAAGGATTTGCTTTATGAAATGGTCGCTTAATCAGCTCATCATGTTCAGTATTTAGAAAATGGCTACCTTGAGGGTTTTTGTCCGAGTGTCACCTAAAGGTACTTTTTCGCTGTATTGACTTTCTTTCAACGACTATAGCTGCTTTCAGGGGCAATTCTGTGCAAAAATGAGTGCGAACTCGGAATTCACGAGCTTTTTTCTTTTCAATAAGTGTGAAACTGTTGCGGTCTCTAACTTCAACCTGTTACGAATTCGATCGCTCGAAGTTGCATTATGGAATGATAGATATTACTAGATCCTCATTATATATTACCGCCACCCCTCTCGCATCTCTTGTTCACTGGAATTCGAGATCTTGTCTCGTTGCAGAAAGCCGCAGTTGATAGGCGCGGCCACTGAATTGCTTCACTGTTCTGGACTCGTCGTGGGCTGTCTTCGCACCATCCCTTCGGATCGTTGGATTTCATTTTGGAAAATCAAGATAATCCGTTGACCATAACCTTGCGATTCTCGGGATTTTCCGAACTTTTGTCCCCTAAGTAAATCACACTGAGTGTAACCTTATAAGCATTTATACTGTACGTTCGTTGACCTCCTTGAATCACAGGGAATTTTTTATGTGGCGAACATTATAGGTTGTTATTCCGGACATCTCCCTGCGTGGCCTTTGCCATGGCGATAATCGTATTCTCTGTAGTACCCTTTGATGAATCGTGTTGTCTGTTTCGACATGTAATGATGCTCTATTGTGCGAATCGATCTGCCCTAGATCTCCATCTGCCCGAGCGCCGCACTGGAGCAACAATGCGCCCTAATATAACAACTTCACATTTTCTGTAGCTCGTCGTCTAACCACACTGATCTGTCTCTGGGGCAGCGAGAATAAAGTTTTTTCGGTTCCATGGCCATAACTCGCCGTTTTAAGCTCATAAATCTGAAAGATGAAAACTTCATCCATAAAACTAAGGGATCTTGCTTTTATCAGAAGTCACCTGAGAACCGGCAGTTGAAAACCATGTTCAGTATTCAGAAATTGGCTACCTTGATTTTTGCAAAACTAACGAGGAAAATTTATGATGAGTGCGAGTTTTTAACATTTTCCGAAGCCATAACTCCCTTTAAACTCATCCATTCCAGAAAGTCAAAACGTCGTCATAAACAAATGTTTGCTTTATGTGGAAATGTCGCTAAGTCAGCTCATCATGTTCATATTTCAGAAAATGGCTACCTTGAGGGTTTTTGTCCGAGTGCCACCTAAAGGTACTTTTTCGCTGTATTGACTTTCTTTCAACGACTATAGCTCCTTTCAGAGACAATTCTGTGCAAAAATGAGTGAGAACTCGGAATCCACGAGCTTTTTTCTTCTCAACAAGTGTGAAACTGTTTGGCGAGTCTCAACTTTGACCCTGTTTACGAATTTGACGCTGAAGGCTGCATTTTCTTGTTGAATAGTGTATTCCTCCCTGTAATTCCGCACAAACCCTTCTAGAATCTTCTTGATTTTCCTGAATCAAGATCTTCTCTTCAGAGGAGATCGAGGTCCAGATCGATACAATAGGATCATTACTGTCGGACGACAAACATCAAGGGTCGAATCGATGCCATGGAAGGCCAGAGGATTTCCAATAACAACCTTATTTCGCCCACATAAAAATTCCGTGATTCAAAGGGGTCCGCGTAGTAATGCTTATTTCGATCAGCAGTGATTTACTACGACCCGAAAGTTCAAAAAATCCGAAATCGCACGTTTTTCAACGGATATTTTGTCTTCCGAATGAATCCACCAATACGAAGGGATGTTAAGCAGACGATGAGTCCCAGATTGGGCCCATTCATTGCGCGCGCTTCAACTGCGGCTTTCTGAAGAGAAAATCTTGATCAGAAAATCAAGAAGATTCTAGAAGGGTTTGTGCGGAATTACAGGGAGGAATACACTATTCAACAAGAAATGCAATCTCCAGCGTCAAATTCGTAAACAGGATTAAAGTTGAGACTCGCCAAACAGTTTCACACTTGTTGAAAAGAAAAATTATCTCGTGTGGATGTCCGGAAGTTCTTACTCTTTTGCACTAACCTTGTCCGTCTGGAAAGCGCCGGCTATAGGTCTTGGAAACCAAAGTCAATACGAGCGAAAAAGTGCCTTAGTGGTACTCGGACAAAATTCCTCAAGATAGCCATTTTCTAATACTGAACATTTGGAGTCAGTTTAGCGAGCATTTCATAAAGCAAACCCTCTTGTTTATGACGACGTTTTGACTTTCTGGAATGGATGAGTTTAAAGGGAGTTATGGCTTCGGAAAATGTTAAAAACTCGCACTCATCATAAATTTTCCTCGTTAGTTTTGCAAAAATCAAGGTAGCCAATTTCTGAATACTGAACATGTTCAACTGGTTCAGTGACCGTTTGATAAAGCAAATCCTCTGGTTTATGATGAAGTTTTAACTTTTCAGAATGGATGAGGTTTAACGGAGTTATGGCCAATGGACCGAAAAATCTTTGCTTTCGTCCCGCTGACATCGGACAGACAGCTATAGACACGGCTACAGAAAATGTGGTTTTCTAGGGCGCATGTTGCTCCAGGGGCGGGGGGGGGGCAGCCCGTATCGCTGCGTCAGATTCACCGAAGCCCAGTTTTAGGAATAAACCTCAGAGGATAATGAG